CTTTGAGAAATGAAGATCCCTTTATTGGATTAACTTCAATTTTCAAGAAATATTATAATTTTCTTAAATCTTTTGTTTTAAATTCTTGAGTAAGAAGTTTCTTCAACCGAACCATCTTCTTTGTATTATCTCTAGTCACCACAATATCATCTACATAAATAATGAGAAGAGTGACCTTACCCTCACGATGTTTGATAAATAAAGTATGATCTGCATTGCTTTGTTGATATTCAAAAGAGATTATAACTCTTCTAAACCGCTCAAACCATGCTTTTGGAGACTGCTTCAATCCATATAAAACATTTTTTAATTGACAAATTTTTCCTTGCGTCCTCTCATCTTCAAATCCAGGTGAAATTTACATGTACACCTCTTCCTTTAAGTCTCTATGGAGGAATGCATTTTTTACATCAAACTGCTGTATATCCCAATTAAGGTTAGCTGCGAAAGACAAAAGTATTATAATTGTGTTTATTTTCGCAACAGGTGCAAATGTCTCTTGGTAGTCAATCTCATAGGTCTGAGTAAATTCTTTAGCCACCAATCTAGTTTTGTATCTTTCGATCGATCCGTTTGTTTTGTGTTTTACGGTGAGCACCTATTTACAACCATCTTCTTTCCCTGTGGAAGTGAAACAAGTTTCTATATTTTATTTTTCGTCAATGCTCTCATTTCTTCAATCATGATTTTTTTTCCACTTGAGATCTCTTAGAGCTTCTCTCTAATTCTGTGGAATAGACACAGAAAAAACAAATATAATAAAAGCTCTATCGGAGGAAGATAGAGAATCATAGAAAAACATTGTTAGATATAGGGTGGTTAGTGCAAGTTCTCGTTTTCTTTCTAATAACAATAGGTTTATTTGATAAATCGCAATAGAAAGATAACTCACCAGTATCTTCTGAAATCAGAGAAGATTCTTGACGTGGGACAGACTGCATGATGGCTTTTTTGGAATTTTCTCTCCTTAAATACCTTTTCAAGTCTGGTTTATCTAGACATTCAACATTATCTTCTTGATTAAGATTTTTTGTAATAGAATTTTCCCACTCAATATGATTCTCAATTGTTATCCAATTAGGTATCACTTCTTCCTTCTCACTCTCCCCCTAAAGAGGTGTTGGGTTTGAGTTGAAGTAAGACTCATTCTCTCTAAAAGTATCATCCATAGTTACAAAATATTTTCTAGATGGTGGATGATAACACTTGTAGCCTTTTTGAGTAGAAGAATATCCAATAAATACACACTTTAAGAGCTCTAGATTCTAGCTTACCCACATTTCTAGCATGAATAAAGCACACACATCCAAACACTTTTGGGGGAACAATGTAGGAATTTTTTCCTTACAAAACCTCCATAGGATTTTTAAAATTCAGAACCCGCAAAAACATTCTATTGATAAAATAGACAGCTGAGAGAACCGCATCTCCCCAATAACTCTTTGGTAGATTCATGGTAAACATTAGTGACCGAACTACCTCTAGTATGTATTTGTTTTTTCTTTCAATAACCCCATTTTGTTCACTAGTGTAGGCACAACTTGTCTGATAAATTATTTCATTTGATTCCAAGTAGGTATAAAACACACTATACATATATTTTGTACCATTGTTAATTCGCAAAATTTTAATTTTAGCACCAAACTGTGCATATCATTTTGTGGAAAGATTGAAAATATGAAAATACATCACCTTTTGTTTTTAACTGATAAATCCATGTTAATTTAGTACAATAGTTAATAAAAGTAACAAACTATCTATGAATAGAAAGAGAAGTATTCTGAGTAGATCCCTACAGATCAGAATGAATAGTAATAAAAGGATCAGTACTTCTATTATTACTTAAATAATAAGATCTCATATTATGTTTAGTAAGTTCGCATGCATCACAAAATAAAGACTGCATAAAAGTTGTTTTAAATAATTTAGAATATAATTTTTCTTAAACAAAAAAGGAAGAATGCCCTAATCGTCGATGCCATTATGGTATCTTTAGATTGATTTCTTTATTCCCAATGGTTGCTTGATTTCCAATTAAGTTCAGATGTTTGTCCTAGACATATAAACTATCTTGCAATCTATCAGTGCTAATCTTCTTCTCGGTTTGAAGATCTTGAAAGATGCGATGATCAGAAAAAAATTCAATTTTACAGCTGAGATTTTCAGTTATGACACTAATAGATAAAAAATTGTCAGACAGATTAGGCACATGTAAAACTGAAGAC